GTTGCAGGCCGCGTAGGCGACCGCGAGGAAGTGAAAGGCGGGCAGATTTGGTTCCAGCAGCCCCCACCGATGAAGCACAGGAAGAGGTAGAGGGCGCGCCAGAGCTCGACGTATAGCGTTGTGGAAGGGGCGGCATCGGGCGTAGTGTCGAAGGGCGTCGGGGCAGCCAGGACACCCGAAGGCACAGCGGCGCTTGCCAAGGGGGTGCAGGATGCGGTGCGATGTCATCCAACCATCAGCCCAGGTACGAAGCGCAGCCCAGGCCCAGGAACAGGGGCAGGAGGCCAGCGTGCTCGCGATTGAGTCCCACGGGAGGGAGGCGACCAGGGAGGCGTGCCGCGGGAGCAGCTTGGCGAGGCGAGTCTGGAGCAGGAACACCAGCGGCGAGATGGCAGGGCCGAGAGCACGGAGAGCAGCATGAGCAGCGCGTTGAGGGCGAGGGCGATGGGCCGCCGCGTCTGCCAACGCCGCACGCGCCGCGACCGCGGCAACCGACGGCCAGTCAGGGGACCAGCAAGGAGAAGGCGAGCCAGTGCGGGTACCAGCAGCCGCACGCTGGAGAATCTCCACGAACGCCTCCGAGCGCCAGAAGTGCGGGTAGCATCTGCCAGAACCAACCATCTCCAGAGTGCACCAGTCAGGATGAGCAGCCACGTGATGTCGGAGCCGATTGTGAATGTCGTTGAACTGCGGGAACGTATGAAGAGCTGCGCGGGCAAGCGCCGCACATCCCATGAAGGCCCAGCGGGTGATGCGAGGGCCTCCCCAAGCGTGAAGTAGAGACCAGCACGAAAGCGGGAACGTGCCCAGAGCCACGCGGAAGACCTGCGCCAAGGTCATGAGCTCCAGGCGGGGGACGGCAAGCGGCATGTGGCAGAACTGAGCGACATACGACAATGTCGGAACCGCACGTGTGCAGTAGAGTATGGCCGACAGACTGGGCGGGGTTGTCCCGCGGCCGATAGCTTGAGCCCGATGCTGTACCTTGGCCAATGGAGCACGCCATTGACGTTCAACGGTCACTGAGGGACCAAGCCAGAGCCCAAGATATTGTAGTTCCTCCACAACGCCAAAGGAGGCCCACTCAGGGACCCATACTCGAAGTTGTTCGGCCACAGCAGCAGCCAGCTCCTCAGAGAAGACGCCCGAGAGGGGGACCAGGAGGCACTTGGAGAGCTTCAGGGAGAGGTTAGCGAACATTTCAGCCAAGACCATCACCCGATGCACAGGATCAAGGTCCGCCACAGACCGAGTCGCACCGCCGATGTCGCCAGCGCAAGCCCGAACCAACCCGCGACCAGAGGGCTCCAAGGAGAACGCTAGGTCCTTGAGGAAGGCAGAGGTTGCGAGGGCGAAGAGGGAGCCCGAGAGCGCGCAGCCCTGAATAATTCCACTGCGAATCCAAAAGGTCGGTACAAAGTCCCCATTCACCGAGGCCACGCCCTGGATGGCCGAGTAGAGAAATGAGACAAAAGCCAGGAAGGTCCCGGGAAGCCCCAGCACCTGAAGAACAAACGCCATAAACTCCTGATTGAGAGAGGGGAACGCCTGGCCGAAGTCGAGCGAGAAAAGAAGCGGGATGTCGGACGAACCAGGAGGGCCCACCGAAAGCTCGCGAGCATGCGCATCCAGCTCCAGGATGTTGACACCAAAATTGCGACCACCGACGAACCCCCGTTGGCAAGGCGGGACGATATGATGGATGAGAGGTTGGAGAGCACGATTCATGACGGACGACAGCAGCTTGACGCCCGTGTTTCGTAATCCAAGAACACGAACCTTGTCGGGCGAACGAGTGCACTCACCATCGCGCAACTCAGCGTCTGTGACAAGCTTCGGGAGAAAGGCCTGAATAGTGATAGAGGAGCAATCAAAGAGAGCTTGACCATCACCAATCCAATCGAGAGCATCCATCAGCACATGAAGACCAAACGGAAGCGCTTCCCACGAGGAGTAAGGTAGGCCGTCGATGCCAGGGGCGGAGTCCTGGGCCGCGTGGAGGGCCCGTCGAAGCTGTGCCAAAGTCGGAGGCGGAAGATCGATGGTGTTCACGGGACCGAGCCAGGAAGGGATATATGCCTGAGCCGCCTCGGCGTCCCAAGATTTCCGCGAGAAGACGGGTTTCCAGTAGGAAGCCAGGGCCTCAACGCGTTCCACGGGGTCAGAAGCCGCACAATCGTCCGATACTCGTATCGACGACAATGCCAAAGAGCGAGAGAATGGTGACCAGAGCCTCGCTTTCCTCTCCAAAGCACGCAACTGAAGGCGGGTGGCACGAGCAGAAGGGCTGGCGAGAGAGCTGAGATTCAAGAGCACGCCGACGCACCTCAGCAGCTTCCCGTTGGATGGATGAAGCCCACTCCGAAAAAGACGGGGGGTGAATGAGCACGACCTCCGAGGAGCGGACGGTGATGTGATCTCGGACGCGAGGATGAGATTCAAGCATCCGAAGGGCCAACTTGACATCTTGCCTCCAGACCACGCGCGAGATCATTCGCGCCACCTGCAACAAAGTGTCGAGACTGTCGGGATTGTCAATAAAGAGCGAGTCGCGCACCTCTGACGCAGCAAGACGCATGAGATGTTTGTAATGCTCTAGCTTGAAAGGTGGCGACATGCCGTCCCATGAGGTAGAGGCCACCAATCCACGTAGACGGCGAACGAAGCGAGGATCGCGACAGAGGCGGCGTGGGATAGGGCGAGCAGCAGGCCGACGAGCAGAACGGGAAGCAAGAGAGACGATGACCGCAGTGTGATCAGAGACTTTCGCATCCGAGAGCGCCGCCGCAGACCCTATAGTGGCGGAAGTAAGATTCATCCGGCACACCTGCCAGCCCTGCAAGGAGAGAAAGACGCGATCCAAGATGCTGGCCTTGCCCGCTGCCCGCTCGAAGTGGGTCGGCTCGCTGCCCTGGACCTCAAGCATGTCGTCGAAGATGGGTATCCAGGAAGGTGCGGCTGCATGGTGCCGACGGCCACCACGACGAGAAGCAGCAACCAGTGCCAGCAGAGACATTGCGGACTCCTCAGAGATATTGAAGTCCCCATTCAGAACCACCAGGACACGCAGCGGCTCGGCTCGAGCCTCAGCGAGAGCGGCACGTACTGCATCACGGACTTTTGTGACGGCGGTGGCCCCCAGCTCGCGATTGTGGACGTTGAAGAGGTAGACGCAAGCGCGAGTCGCACGCAGGGCGACCATCAGCACACGGCCTGGGACCAGAGGATGGGACTCCACTCGCACAGGATCCTCAGGTAGATGCTCGAGAGGAGGGATCAAGACTGCGACGCCACCGCGTGCACGATCAGCAGGCTCAGGACCACAGAAGCTCGAAAGAACGGTGGACCGCGGGCGCACACGATGCACGAAGTGTTCCAGCTGGAGGGCGTCTTGGTGCACCTCCTGCAAAGAGACGATGGACTTGTCGAGGCCGAGCTTGGAGAGGTAGTTAAGCTTGATGGCTGCTTTGGCCCCCGCAGCCTGAAGAAGGGCCCTGCAGTTCCAAGTAACCACTCGCAGGGCAGTGGTCGAACCCGAGGAACAGGACCGCGAAGACGAAAACAGAGACAGCGCGTCAAAGACACCACACGGGCTCGTCCGCAGAGGCCGTGAGGAAAGAGGTGAGCTGCATGGCGCGGGCCTTGGTGATGTCGTGGCGCTCCAGCTTGGCGACGTCCCAACGCAAAGCAGGAGGAGCATCCCCAGCCTCCACCTCGACCTTGAGAATCTTGTCCCAGCCGATGGAGAGGAACCCGCGGTCCCGATCCGTGAAGAAACGCAGCGACGAGTACTCGGTGGCGAAGGCGGCGCGGCACTTCCTAAGGACGTATTCCATCTTGACCTGCTTCGGCGACTTGTCGGGGCCCATGTGAACGCGAGTGCGCTCGGAAGTGCCAGGGAGGTCGGCGAAAAAGGCTTTCCACCCGTTCTCGTCCTTGAGGGCTGAGAGAGCACGCAGGACCTTTCTCGATGCTGGTTGCACCATCCCCTTGAAGTGAACTGCGAAGCGCTTGCACGGGAGGGTGCCCTTGGAAACGATTTCGCACTCGCTGGCGTCGAACCCGGCGTCCGAGAGGAAGCTCTGAAGGCAGGCGGACATCGCCTCGATAGAGGTGGCACGCTGGGCCACTGCGATGAGGAGGGTGGAGTCGGCGTCCCTGTCGAAGCCTGTGGGGATCTGCGGAGGAGCCTGAGGGCGCTGTTCTGCAACAGCGAGATGACGGCGAAGCTCAATCAGTTCAGCACGAAGAGCCGAGAGCTGGTCGTCGTGATCCCCAAGCCGCCGTTCACATGCATCGATCTGCTTCTTGTGCTCGTCAATCTGCGACTGGAGCCTGCGAGAAAGGGCATCAACCTGGGGGCGCACCACGCTCTGCACCTGTTGGTCGATCGCCGCGGACTGACCAGAGACCTGCTCCCGAAGCTTGTCGATGGACCCCAGCAGCACCGTGTGGTTCTCTGCCACGGTGGCCCTGATGGACTCGGAGACGGCCGAAGTGAGAACGGCCCGCATGGAATCGAACTCGTCGCGGCACAACTGGCGAAGGTAGTCATCGGAAGACCAGGCGTCGGTCCCGTCGGCTCCTTCTGCAGCAGAATGGTCATGAGCAGCACGCTTGCGAGGGGGCGGCACAGCTCCTTTGCCACCTTTCCCGCGGCCAGCGCCCAGCTCCTGCGAGGGGAAGGTCGCCGCGATATCGAACTGCTCGACCAACGACGCGGGAACCTCTGCGCCGTGAGCGTCATCAGCCATGCCGAGAGTGCACGGAGCGACGGGCGACTGCGGTGTGGGGGCCCAACTCCCACGGAAGAGGCACAAGCAAAAGACTGCCAGGCACAAGGGCCTTGCTCGCCGCGGGCCAGCGGTATCCGAGAGTGCCAATGCGGGCTCGGCCCGCAGCAGCATGGGACTTGAGCCAAAATGGCTACGGAGGAGGAGGAGGAGGAGGAGGAGGAAGATCGGGAGCGTCGAGGCTGACGCAGGTGGCGGCGGGCGGGCGGGGTCCTCCCCGCGGAGCAGGGCCTCCTGCCTCCGCAGCTCCTCCTCGGCCTTGGCGCGGCGCGCCTCGGCGGCGCGCGCGGCGGCGGCGGGGCGGCGTCGGCGTCGGCGTCGTCGCTCCCCGGAGGTTTTTCTGGGCGTCCCCGGGCGTCCTCGCCGCCACGGCCAGGCGCGGCCTCGGAGCGTGGCCGGGAGGAGGCCAGAGGAGGAGGAGGAGGAGGAGGAGGAGGAGGAGGAGGAGGAGGAGGGGGAGGAGGAGGAAGAGGAGATTTCCGGGGCGTCTCCGGGGCGCGCTCGCCGCCACGCGCCGGGCGCGGCTCGGCAGGCCTGCCGGGGTGGAGCCCGCGCGGATCGACGCTGACCAGGCGTGGGGTCCTGGCGGGTCGTAGGAAGGCATCGACTATACACCAACACCGATCCTGGCCAGGATCACCCTGGGCTCAGGATCGGTGTATACGCCCTCCTGCCTTGCGCAAGAAGGCATATACACCGATCCTGGGCCCAGGGTGATCCTGGGCCAGGATCGGTGTTGGTGTATAGTTGGTGCCCTCCGAGTTTTGGAAGCATCATTTCTGGAGGTTCTCGCCGCCACGGCTGGACGCGGCTTGGAAGACTGGCCAGGATGGAACGCGGGGGAGGGGTCCGGGGGCCGGAGCTTGCAAGGATCTCGGTTTGGGCGTGGGGGAGGGGGCGGAGGGGGGGGCCCGCCTTCCAAGAAGGCAGGGGGTGCTCAGGCTTTTGTTATTCTCAGCGCGCGGCCGCTGCCGCGAGGCGACCACGATGACGACGACGACGACGACGACGACGACGACGACGACGACGACGACGACGACGACGACGACGACGACGACGACGACGACGACGACCCAGGCCGCTGCCGCGAGGCGTCGGCCAGGGCCTCAGCTCGAGGGCCGCAGCTCGAGGGCCACCGCTCGGGGAGCTCTCGAGGGGACGGGCTCGGGACGACAGGCTGGTCCGAACATCGCCAGACGGCACCGCCTGGGGTTAACGAGAGCAGCCAGGCCGCGCGAACATCAGGGGGCGAGGCTGGGCAGCCTTCGCAGCGAGGCCAGGCGTCGCGAAAAACAACAAGCACGACGGGTGTTGTCGGACTACGTGGAGCGGTGGCTGTCGATTTCCGCTGCAAGAGCACGAGGCAAGACGGCCTGACTGCTTGCTCTCGGCCTCTGCCGTATTTGCCTTCTTGGCTTCGGGCCAGGAGAGCCCCAAGACGGCTGAATGGGGCTCCAGGACGGCCACAGAGGGCCCCAAGGCGGCCCCAAGACGGCCCAGAGCCCAAGACAGAGCTAGGACGGCCCAAGTAGTCCCCGTGAGGGCTCCTCAGAAAGTGGAGACGAGAGATGTCACATGTGACGGCCTCCTGGGCGGCGCTCGAAGGGTCGTCGCACAGAGGGCTTCGCTGGTACGGTGGTGGATTTGCCGCAAGCACGTGGATCAATGGCAAATCGCTTCAACCATCACTGGAAACCGACCGGAGCGCACCATCTCAAACCGATCGGGGCACCACCAGGGCAGCATCAGCGAGCTGCCAGGACACCACCGGGGCACCCCCGACAGACCGTCGGGACACCATCGGGATAACCATCGGGGCACCATCAGCAGGCCATCGAAGCCCCATAAACGAATCCTCTGGGCGCCTCCAGGGAACTGACTGGAGGGAGCTCCCCGCCACGCCCCTTGGCCTGGCGCTCGAAGCCGCAGGAGGACGTGGCAGCCTCGTCAAAGCCCCTGCGCCCATCACGCCCGCCCTGAGCTTCGCACGCGCGCCACGCGGGAGGCGAAAGAGGTACGGCAGGCTCGTGTCGTGCCGACTTCAGCGTCGGTTTCTGACACCGCGGGGATCGTTCAACCTGGAACGATCGACCGCTTCCGAAACAAAAAATCTTTCAGCATCGACCGATGCTTGGCCGCCGCCAGCGTTCAGCGCTGAACGCCGGCGGACGTGGAACGCCGGCGGCGGGGTCGGCGCTGGTCGACACGACGCGAGCCTGCCGTACGCCGATTTGCCCCACCGACGGCAAGCTCTGCGCGGCCCCTCGGCGGCGGCGGTGGGCCCAGCAGGCGCGGCCCGGGGGCGGGGGCACCCCAGAAGAGGGGTCCTCGTGACCGCAGCCTCGGACCGCACGTTTCGCAAGGTGTCGCCCCTGCTTGTGAGAAGCACGCTGCTTGCGTGTGCTGTTCACGCGGCCTCTTATCCAGCAAAAAGAGCGAATCCGTCCGAGCGTTTCCCGCTCACCCCGCGCATAGCTGCTTCGTCATCCTGTCCTCCACGGTCGTCGCGACTTTTGAGATGATGCACACGACTCGCCAGAGGCCCGGTCGACGGAAGGCGACGGTTCCTCCGGGACCTCGCGTCCTCCTGGCACGCCCGACGTGGGCACGCGAAGAGTGGGCACGATGCCCGAGAGCAAGTGCTGTCCGAAGCCTTCAGAGGCCACTGTTGGGCCAGCGACTTCCTGTCTCGACCCGACCACTTCCGCGGCAACACCGACAGCGAGTCCTTCTCGAAAGGGGCAAAAGCTGCCGCCGGTCTTCGCCCCCGATCTTTCCAAATCCACGTCGATCCTACCGATCCGTTGGGCCCATGAACCCTCCCCCAGCCCGCCTCATGCACCCTCTTTGCCTCGGCTTTCGCCTCGTCGTCGGCCACGGCCCTTGCCTCGGCCTGCTGGATGGCTTCCTGCCCCTACCATCGAGCGGATAGAATTGGACGGGCGTTGGCTTCACTATTCCTTTCTGGTCTCCCCATCCTGCTTTTAGTGCTCCTTCTCCCTCGCCTCCCGCTACACATTCTCCTGCTCATCGCGCATATCAGCGGCGGGGCAAGGTCTCTGAGCGTCAGGCGGTAGATGCAGCAATAGCGAAAGCTGCCAATATCATGTGGAACGAACGCCTATTTCCTGGACTCTTTAGCTATATCACTGACTTCAAGAGCATGCTGCGTTTACGGCATTGATGCTTCGCTTACTCAACTGCTTCTGGCTGAACATCCATTCACACATGCCCGGACAAAGAATCATCCAGATAAACTCTCATGTGCCCCCCCCCCGTCCAGCAGCACGTCCCTCGGGCTCTTCTTTCGCTGCGGTTCGCACTTCAATGACATCGCTGCCACCCATACAGTACTGACCCCATCCTCCTTCCCGCACCCTCTACGGTGACCGATCCTCAGAATAGAGAAAAACTCCAGACCTGAGTCCTCGAACCTCGATCGTCGATCCTCCCCTCCCCAACTCCCTCCTCCTCATCCTCCTCCTTTCGTGCCTTCCAGTCTGCGCCACCACACCCTCGTCTACGTGCTCCTCCCCCTCCTGGACAGCAGATATTCGCTGTAGCGCGTACAGCGCGTACAAAGGGAAACAACAAGAGGAAGTGCACAGTGGGCTACCAAAAAAATGCAACCTGAGTCGCCGCAGTCGTCGACGATCGAGAATCGAGGTTTTCGAGCGTTTCTGTGCGGTTTGGAGCGTTTTGGGGCGTCCAGGTGGCGTCTGGGGGTTCTTGGGGGCAGAGGGAGTTACATTACCTTTGCACGGGGGTCGGAAATTCAAGATGAATAGACCGACATCGGCACGCACACGAACAGGCGAGGGGGAAGGAAGCAGCGGACTTAGCAGCAGGGGGCAACAAACGCGCGCACACTCACATATGTTCATGTATGCGTTTGCAGACACACTACTTACATCATTGTCCCGTAACAGCGGCATGGATAAACAATAAACAGGGCAGACAAACAGATGCGTGAGGAAGAAGACGGCGGGAGAAGGGAGGGGAAGAGCGGACGAAGCAGTGAAAGGGAAGCCAGGCTGCTCAAGGGCGCTAGCAGATGCCAACGTCGAGGCGTAGCCATCGCCATGGCCGGGAGCTCGCTGCAGTCTGCACAGGAAGGTTGGTGGCGTCGGTGGCGGTGGCAGTGATCGAGTGGCGACAGTGGCTCGTGGCGGTGGCTGGTTGTGATCGCCCTGGCGGTGATGGCATCTGAGCGTCCATGAACCTGCGTTCTCCTCTTGGGTGCATCGTGCACATGCGCGCGGGCGTGAACTCTCAGCGTCGGCGGCATCTGCAGGGGAACGAGCGGGGAACACGAGGGCCTGGGGCCCGATCTGGCGCCCCGGACCTGGCCAAGACTGGCGCGCTTCCCCGCAACGCCGACGACGGCATCCCCGAAATTAGCGAATCCACCGATCGATCGGCCAGCGCCCACGTGCTTCTGTCGCTCTGGTCAGAGCCTGGAGCCAAATCTGCCGGCAGTCACGGAGACTCCCCTCCGGCTGCCAAGGCCGGCAGGACGGCCCCTCCTTCCTTGCAGGTCTGCAGGCCGCCGCGCGTCGCGCGGAGCTCCAGGTTCAGCGCGTCGTCCTCGGCGCGCGCGGGCCGGGGGCGCACTCTCTTGTCGCGGACCCGGCGCACGCGCAGGTCGGTCGGGCGGCCCAGGGCCACCGAGCGGCGAATTCGGCACCGCACGAGTTCGGAACAGGAGCGGGCGCGGGCACACACGATGCGCATCCTCGGCGATGGTGGGGACGTGCGGGCGGGAACTGGGGCGGGAACAGGCTGTGCTGCCGGTGCGCGCACAAGAGGTGGCGCCAGGGGCGGGAGCCTTCCAGGAAGGCAGGGGGGCCTCGCGCAAGGGCCCGGAGGCTTCCAGGGAGGCGGAAGGGCCATCAGGGAGCCGCCTGCCTTGCGCCTCCCCCTTTGGAAGGCGGCCCCCCTTGCGCCTCCCCTTTCTGCGCGCACTTCGAGAGCACTCGTGGAATGCCGTAGGGGCCACGCCGCACGAGGCTCTGCGTCGGGTCCGACCAGAGCTGAGGCGGCGGTGGTGGTGGTCCTGGTGGTGATGGCGAAGGTGAAAGACGTAATCGGAGATGAGAGATGAGATCGAAGTGGAACGGAGAGCCCCTCACTGGAAATCGGTTTCGGTTTCGGGTTAGTGTCGTGCATGGGCGAGGCGAAGCTGTGTGGGCGGGCGAGAGGAATGAGCCCTCCTCTGGCTAGGGCGCGGCGAAGCAGAAATCCGCCACCCGCCCCCCTCCTGTGTGGCGGGCGGGTGCCGGGGGTGTCCCGCCGTGGTGTCCCGATGGTGTCCCGTGGTGGTGTCCCGTGGTGTCCCGTGGCGTCCTGTGGTGTCCCGCGGTGTCTCGATTGGTGTCCCGATGGTGTCCTGGTGGTGTCGATGGTGTCCCGCGGTGTCCTGCCGTGGTGTCCCGCTGGTGCCCCGTGGTGTCCCGCGGTGTCCGGTGGTGTTCCGCGGTGTCCCGCGGTGCCCCGTGGTGTCCCGTGATGGTGTCCCGTGGTGTTCTGTGGTGTCCCGATGGTGTCCCGATGGTGTCCCGTGGTGTCCCGCAGTGTCCCGTGGTATCCCGTGGTGTCCCGTGGTGTTCCGCGGTGTCCCGCTGTGTCACGTGGTGTCCCGTGAGATCGATGGTGAGATCAATAGTGACTTCGATAATGAGATCGATAGTGAGATCCATGGTGAGATCGATAGTGAAACCGATAGTGAGATTGGTTGTGAGATCGATAGTGAGATCGATGTTGAGATCGATGGTGGGATCGACGGTGAGATCGGTTGTGAGATCAATAGTGGGGAAGGCTTACTGTGAGGCCGATTGTAGTGAGATCGATTGAATGAGACGTTGGTTCTTCACCCCACATCACCCGAAAGGTGGTCGTATAACTAGCTAGCGAAGGATACGTATTGTTCCAGCGCGCTTTTGTGGAGAGGGGGAGGGAAGAGCAGGAAACACGCGAGCCGCCGCATCACTCCGACCTTCGGCTGCCGAGCGCACGCAGCTTCCGCCAGCCTGCTAGGCCCCCGATACAAAAGCTATGGGCTCGGGCAGCGAGGCAAACAGCCAGCACAGGATGCGTAGGTATTTCTGGCATTTCGACGGCGGCTCTCCCTGTGACCTGTTGGGGAGAGCGCACAGTGGGCCATCGGCAGGTGAGAATACCAACCTCCATCCCCTCCTCCTCCTCCTGCGCAGAGCGGCACCTCTGATCGTGCACATGTTCATTGTTAGAATCCACGAATTCTGCTCGTTCGCTACGGGCTTTTAGCCGCCGACCACCTTTCGTTTCGGATTTGGCACTGTCCTTGCAAACTGAAAAAACTGTCCTGTACTCCGAACGCTGAAAAGATGCTCCCGTTTGTGGCACGTCGGACAGAATAGAAACAAAACTCTGGCACCAGAAGTTCAAGGTCCTGGCCAGCGCCGTCTGCCACCAACCCGTCAGGGCCAAAGGGTAGCAGAAGCCCAAGAAAAAAGTTCTCGACAGGCAGTACGTTCCTGGAGCCCTGGTGGGCACTAGCTCTGGGTGCGGCAAACATTCCTGACCAGAAGGAAAATACCGACCCCAAGGTGCGCTGGACGACGAATGTAAGCGTGACACCTGGCGGGGATGATGGAGGTAGAGGCGACTCTGGGGGATGGCGGCGGTGGTGCCCCTGTTCGCCGTAGGTCGGCAACAACCTCATGGACCTCGTAGGTCACACAACCTCACGGTTCGCGCTGAGCGAGGCGGGAGACGCGATGATTATCGTCGCACCCTCGCGCCGCCCCCTGGAGAGAGCCAACTCCACGGCCCAGGCCGCGAAGCGCGAAGCGCGATCGCCCTCGCGCCTCCGAGGGCGGCCTGGACTACCCCACTGGTCATGGAAATAGAACGCGACTTGAGAGAGGCCAGGACCCCTGCCCGGGTCAGCACGCGGACGAGGAAAAAGCTTGTGGTGGAAAGGCAGCGCCCGACATACGAGGACGGCGCTGATGCACCGTGCCATGCTGGTACTCCCCTGAGGCCTCGCTCTGACGCGGTACACGGTGCCTGGTCCTGCGGCCCCGAGTGCCGAAAAACCATGCACCGCACCGCTCCTGGGCCGAAGATCGAGGAAACCTAAATCGAGGAGACCCCCACGCGGCACGGTGCACACGGGCCGCCCGCGGACGACACGGGCTCACGAGGCCGTCCTCCGCCTCGGACCTGGCGAAGGCCTGCACCAGCTGCTCGTTGCGCTCCGCGTCGTCCGGGCTCTCCTCGCCGCTGCGCGCGGCGGGGGGGGGAGGGGGGGCGGGGCGAGCCTGGGAGGGCGGGCCTGCTGCCTTGAGCGAGCGGCCGGGAGGCGAGCCCGCGGAGGACGTCGAGCCAATGCGGGGCACGGGGCCTCGCCAAGCTGCGCGGCCGCGCATTCCACAGGACGTCCCCGGGGTGTGGCCCGGGGCGCGCTGTCGCCGGCTGCCCCCGCTGGCTTCGGCCAGGCCGGACAGGAGGCGGCAGCGTGCCATTTCTCCGGGCCCTTGTGGAGTAGGCCGTCTCTTGAGCACCCCACCCTCTGACAGTCGGCCCCAGACCTTTCCTGGAGCGCGGTCTGACCCGGATTTCGGACCGAATCTAGCCGTGGCGATGAGAGCCCCTCACACCCACAAGGCCAACAAAAACAAAAGAACACCTGTCAATACCCCCTCCTCCCACCCAACCTTTGAGAAGCGCCTCGGGTGGCCGAAGTCGAGGAAAACCGCCGGACTGAAACATCCAAATCGTCGGAGACCTGTGTCCCAGGAAGGTCCCCCAAACGAGTGTCTGAGATGCGGCTGCTCTCTGGCGGATACGGCCATGAGGGGCAACGTTGGAGGGGGACTGGCTCAGAGGGGAGAGACCATCGACGTGGAATCGGCGACACACCGCCGATAGATCCGCGGCAGGCCCCCGACGGCGAAACCGCAGGTTCCTGGGCGGGGTGAGCTGTCGGCCCTCCACCGGCGATCAGTGGCCGATTGAGGGCCGATGCGCCCGCCTTCCGCCGAGGAAGATATGCTCATTCGATCCCTTGAGCAGAGGCCTCCCCGATCGGGTCCGAGTAGATGGGATCGGAGGGTCGCGCCGCATCGCCGATGCAGCCCCGAAGCATCGGCGCTGCATCGGCGATGTCGGAGATTCATCGGCGACGTCGGCGTGGAGAAAATTTGGCTCCACATCGAGCCACATCGCCGATGCCTCGGCGACGCGGCGCGATCATCCGACCACATCAACTCTGACCCGATCTATGAGGCCTACGGTCGGGAACTTTAGATAGCGTGTCGCCGCGGTGGCCCTGGCGACACGCTATGCGTTGCGAGTGGATAGCGTGTCGCTCCGCTCCGCGGGACGGAAAGCTCGGAAAAGCTCGGCACATGGACGCCTCGGGACAGCGAAGTGGACTGCATGTCGCACCGAGGCGCGGTGGGACAGAACCGGCGGAACGACACGCTATCCAAAAGTTCACGACCGTAGATCGAGGACGAGGCCTTTTCTAGAGCGCGCCATGGAGATTCGGCTACACGCAAGCGTTACCCTAGTCAAGAATGACCTTCGGTGCGCGGCTTGCCGCCCGCTGCGTGCGATGCGACAGCAGCGGCCTGCGTGCTGGGTTTGGCCCCCGCGCGCCTCCCGAAAGCCGCGCAACAAAGGCCACTCCAGCGAAGGGCCACTCTTACGTGCAGCTGATTCGGGGGGACGTAAGGCTCGGGTCAGGAGGACTCGGGTTGGCCCGACGCGGCCCATCAAGAAAATGGCGCGATCCTGTCTGAAATTCGACGCGGTGTCCCACTGCAGACATCTCACGAAAACTGGACCGTCAGATCCAGAACTGGCTCGCCAAACAGCGTGGGGCGAACCCGAATTTCTGCGCACTCGAGACTTCCGTTTCCCCGATTCATGGTTGCTCTGTGGCGGCTGTGCTCAGTCGCCCGCGCCTCGCCCGGCGGCGGCCGCGGGCGCGGGGCCCGCACCGCCCTCGGCCGTGGGCTCCGGGCCGGCGGCCGCGAGCGCGGGCTCCTCCTCGGGGGGAGGGCCGGGAGGCCCCGCGCAGCTGCAGACGGATCGGGGGATGGCCCGACGCACGTGCGCAGCCCAGCCCCGCTGCCAAGGGTGCAGCACGGGCTGGCCGCCCCGGCGGCTGCACGGCGACGCACCTCGCCATGTGAAGTGTTTCCCCTTCCTCCCTGCTCCCTCGTGGCCGCTTTCGCCTGTTTTTCCCTCCTCTTGACACCAATGAATTTGCGTTTTCCGTTGCCCGGACCCCCTGAGCGAGCGCGCGGACTGCCTCTGACGTGCTGCGACGTAAAACGTGCGCGGCCCTCGGGGGGGGGCCAAGGGACGCACCAAAAAAGAAGAAGAGGGGGCCACGCGCAGCTGCGGACGGAGGCAGAACAGGACTCGGAGGCGGTGGGAAAGGGGGGCGCCGACACACGTCCAGAAGAACAGCCCTACGAAGGCATGGCGGTTAAGCTGGAGTCCGGGGATCCCTGTGTGATTCATGACCGTGAAAGCCCGCGGAAGAGGAGGGAGGGCGACGACGACGACGACGACGACGACGACGATGACGACGACGACGACGACGACGACGACGAGCAAAAACAGGCATAATGTGGCAAAAGACATGCACTCTGGAAGAGGTTGGCAACGCCAAAGCATGCGCGTCAGCACGCATACGCAGAGGCGGCCAGGGGGGTCTGAGTTGGATAAACCCCCTGGGTCATCCGCTTCCACGTGCTGCTCATACCCTCACCGTCGTCCTCCAACTCGACCTCTTCCCAGCGGTGGACACGGTTCCCAAGCGGCGTCGGGCATGGACATGCCCTGGCGGTGGAGAGCCGCACCCTCGGATGCGGCCAGAAGGGACTCAGCTGGATGGCCCCGAGAAAACTTGTCAGGCCAGGAAGAGGGAGGAAACCAAATCCATTCAAAATCGGTCCCCAGACCCCTTCTGGAGGGAGGAGGAAGGAGGAGGGAGGAGGCCGGATAAGGAAACGTTTTTCGAGCATGTCTCGGGTGACTGGGGTCTGTGGGGTCCAAAGACCGTGCGGTGACGGACCGTGCGGTGAGGCCTCTTGGGGTCCCGAAGTCACCGCACGGTCTGTCACAACACGGGACCCCCAAGCTGCACGAGCATCTCCTGCCAGCCCCCCACACTTCCTGCCAACACTCCGCACTCGTAAGGGGGGCCCCCCGCCCCGCCCCCCGGCTTTTCGGGGGCGAATTCCTCAGAATCTTGCTCTCGCCGAGCAGCGATTCAGGCATCTCGCTGAACAGCGGGTAGGGCTCGGAGTTCGTCAAACACGTGGCGAAATATAATCATGGAGTAGAGCTTGACTGTTTTTGGGGGGCGCCTGTTTCAGGCAGGATGGGGTCTCCCCCGTGGGGCGCGCTGGTGCACACAGTCGCACTGAGCAGAGGTCCGGAGCCAGCCCATACACACAAACCCCTCCCCGAGGAGGAGAAGGAGAGTGGAGAAGGAGGAAGAGGGAGAAGGGAGGAGGGAGGAGGACGGAGGAGGAGGAGGAGGGAGAAGGGAGGAGGGAGGAGGAGGGGTCCATCTAGCGCAGCTTTTCACCCCTGATCCGTTTTCGACTGCCCCGGTGTCCGAAAACGGCCCCCGAAAGCCGACAATGGCAAAAAACATCCTCGAACCTGCCCCCCCCCCCTCTTGTTCGCCAGAACGAGTGCCGGGCCACCTCAGCCCCAACCAACTCCAAGACCCAGACCCCCAGCTGACCAAGACCCAGATCCCCAGCCGGCCCCAATCCCCTTCGGCTCCAGCTGGCCCCGGCAGGCGAAGCGAGCCAAATCGGATCGACTCGGAATCACTGGACCTCCTTGCGAATCGGATCGCATCGGATCAAATCGCAAGCAGCCCTGCAGGAGATGCAGGCGGCCGGCGGCCCCTCAGGATCTGGGCGTCGAGCAAGAGAGCATCCGACGATCATGTTTCCCCGCACCCTCAATGGGGTTCTCGTTTTCTCTGGACACCCCGCGAAGACCGCACGCGCACTTTTAAGTCGGCGACGCAAAGGAGCCTCAGGCGCGGTCGGCAGGTGGAGGTGCCAATTACGAACGAACTTGGCCGAATGCGCCACGGTGGAAAAGCCCAGTCACGGCCATGCAGGATGGCGGTAAAAGACGAGAGGCGCTGCAATGCCAAAGCGCAGCGGCCAAAAAATCCGAGAGGAACATAGCTCGACGCGGGTAGTTTGAAGCGCAAGCAGCAGTCTGGCATTTGTTGGTGTCACTGAGTCAGCACAGCGAAAACAAACAGAAAACTGTAAAGGTGCCAAACCATCCGAAGGCGAAGTAGCGCTGAGGAAGCTAGTGTCTGGCGAAAAGGATGGACAGGGCACTAACCTATGAACCAGCGACGCACGAGGCATAAGCATAAAATGGTGAAGCGCTAGACCTAGATTGGCGGCGACAGGCGCGCACCACGCGCAGGCACCGTACATGCGGAGCCGAATCCAATCTAATGAAGCCATGCCGTAAAATCCTCGCTGAATAGCCACGCCACCAAAGGAGGCCAAGGCCAGCGACGCGCCCAAGCAGGCAAAAAAAAGCAGCAGCACAGGCGCCGACCAGGAGTAGACTGGCAGGGTACCGCTCGAGCCGCACATAGAAAACGCGAGGTGCAATGCACGCACCGACGTCGGGGTCAACACCAGATCGACCAAGGACGTCTCGGACAGGCCGCGGAAGGCGCCGCGAGGCTCGCGGGAGGCCCAGCTGCACGGCCTACGCCGAGCCAGGAGACGCTCATCACGCGCAGGACAGGCCCCAGCGGTGGCAGACGCAAAAAGGCCACCCCAGGAGGCCCGCCCACGCGGAGCCAGGAACCCCGACCAAGCTCGAGCAGCTCGGAGAGCCCCGAAAATGAAGCGCCAGGAGAGAGGCCCCAGGCGCCACCCACAAAACCGCCAGAGCAAGGGCAAATATTGAAATAACGCACCCCGACAAAATTGCGGGGGGCGGCGGCTGGGCGGGGGCGCGGCAAGGCACCCAGGGCGAAACCAACCCCAGAGACCCCCGCCATGCCGGCCCCTCACTCGCACGCACAGCCCAAGGGGACCGCGCCACCCAGGAAGGGGCCCGACGCACATAGAGAGACAGACAGACAGAGAGAGACGCAGAAGAGGCGCACCTCGCCGGCAGCGACCGCCAGGCGCCCACGCGGGAGAGGCCCAGCCCCCCGCGGCGGGGGCGACCCAGGTGGAGGGGAGGGGGAGATCAAGCAGGCGCAGAAGCAGGAGGGGGGCCCAGAGAGACGGCGGCGGGGGGCCCCGCAACGCGGCGAACCCACGACCAACGACGGCGACGACCGAGCGAGCCCCGCGGCCCAAGAGGAAGAGGAAGGACCGACGAACCACCGGGGGGGGGGCGCCGCCGGAGAGCGGAGGACACGCCACGCCACCTCCGACGGGGAAAAAGGGAAAGCAGGAACAAATCGGCGGCGACCCCAACGCATCGCCCACCGATGCGCGCCCGACACGCGCAATCCAAAAATGCTGCCCCATGCCGAAAGCGGCATGACTGGGGCGCCCCGCGCGCGAAGAAACACCACGGGGCAAGCTTCTTCTGGAAGAAAAGCTGCCGCGACGTCGAGGCGGGGCAACGCACTTCCGCCTACGTCCCATTCTTTTCATCTCTGAATGTGGCGCTCCGAGACACCGCGGGGGGGAGCGTCGCCGGGGGGCGGCAGAACCGCCGCGCCACCCCCGACAGAAAACAAAACGCCACGAGGCCGAAGGCCAGAAGTGGCGAAAGCAAGGGCGAGTGAAACGCGGCAGACTCAAGGGCAACAGAGCGGCGCACGCCCAGAGCGACAGCTCGGCGAGTAACGGGGCTCAGCAGGCGACCCATCGGCGCGCGCGGCAAGAGCGACTGATCGGTGCGCGACAGGGCAAACAACGACAGATCGGCGCGCGACCGGAGGAGACTGCACCGCGGTGCCCCGCTCGCACGCCGCGAAGAAACCGCGAAGAAAACTCACGCCATGCCACCACGGGCCGCGGCCCCATGGGCCCAGCGCGTCGCCGCCGAACTGCGCGCAGCGAGCTTTCCACGCTGTCTTGCTCTGGCCCCCCAGCCGCTTGATACGGGCCACGAGCCGCCCCTCGGATCCTTGGAGGCGCCCTCCAGGCTGGCCAGATGTCCGGCCGAGTCAGGGCTGGCCAGTCCTGTGATTCAAGCTCACTCCCGAAGGGTTTTGCGTTGCATCCCTTGCCCACCGCTGCCGTTTGATTTCGAGCTGGGGCCCTTGGCCTTGGAGCAACGCCCCTCGCGAGGCCGCGAGTAAGAAGATCCATCGACAATCTTCCACATCGCAGCGGCAGCTTGGAGCGAGTCTCAGCTGCCCGACGCCGCGCGCCATTGATATCCTGGCGCTACGCGCCATCCTCCTGTGCAGCCACGACGAAGCCGTCGCGACCCGCGGAATCGAAGCCCAGCAACTTCCTGCTCGCGCTGGTGCTCGGCGCGCACATCAGCGTCAGCAACGCTATCAACGCCTACTACTTCTCCGACAGCGTCAGCGACGCCGTCATCAACTCCTACCCTGCCAACTCCTACGTCAACGTCAGCGACGCCGACACCCACGCCTGCTTCTCCGACAGCGTCAGCGACGCCGTCATTAACGCCTACCTCTCCGACAGCGTCAGCGACGCCGTCACCAACGCCTACTTCCCGTACGTCAGCGTCAGCGACGCCGACATAAACGCCTACTTCTCCCACGACAGCGTCAGCGACGCCGTCATCAACGACTACTTCGCCTACTTCTCCCAGGCCAGCGTCAGCGACGCGAGCATCAACGCCTACTTCTCCTACGCTAGCGTCAGCGACGCAAGCAACGCCCATTTCTCCTACGTCAGCGTCAGCGACGCCAGCATCAACGTCTACTTCTCCAACGCCAGCGTCAGCGACGCCAGCATCAACAGTTATTTCCCCGACAGCGGTGTCAGCGACGCCAGCTACTTCCCCTTCCTTATAATGACGGAAAATTATGCGTACAACAC